TGGGCTCCACTCCCCCATATACTTAAAGTATCCGCAATTTAGAGGCTTATTTTAAATAAAGGATGAAGGATAAAGTTTTTGGCGTTAATCAATCCGGTCTGAGGGATGCTCCCCCGCACTCGACTTCCATTCAGGATCATAGTGTCGTAGTGAGTGCGATGTGGCCAATACAATGACTTGCAGTGGCCAGCCGATGTACACTTCAGTGCTTTTATCCTCCCAGACGAGTCTGGTACCAATTCACCGACCCCAGAGAGATGGAAGGCTTAGTTGGCCTAGACGGGCATCGATACGGGATTCGAACCCCGGACCGTGCGTGTGATGTAGTGCTCCACTTGCTACTACACCACCTCCGCCTTCTTATTTTAACTATCACCAATAATGATAGTGGGCGGAGGTGGTGTGGTGGCAAATGGCGCAATATCACACACGCATGGTCACGGAGTCGAATCGCGGATCGATATCCGCCTAGAAGGCCAAGCACTTACCTTCCGTCCCTACGAAGTCGGTCGATTGGCAAAAGGTTCATCTGGGAGGATAAAAGCACTGACTTATCTGTCGACTAGCCACCGCAAGTCTTTGTATAGACCACATGCATTCAGTGAGGCAATACAATTCGGAATGGAACTAACATGTGGGGTGTATCCCTCAGACAGGATCAACGCCCATTTGCATGTCATACCCTCTATAACTGCTTCTTTCATCACAAGGGAACCCATGTAGGGAGTTTTGTGTCAAACAACTTGTCGTGACCAACAGCGACAGTGAAGGGCAGTTCTGTGCTGTTCTGGCTCTATGTAGTTTGTTCTTTGCGCAGTTACAACTACTGAAATCTCGTCCGACTACCCCTTCCACTCAGTTCTGTGATGTTAATCTCGTCCAACCTCTTTTTTACCTACTTTTAAGGGGCCTTATTTTTTGAAATCGACAAATTTTCTCGCTTTCTTCTCTACCCATTATCCCAATCTACACTTCCGCTCTTGACTGAGAAAGGGTACCGCAAAATTATCGTGAACTGTGCCTTCAATGTCGCGTGGGGTCCATCAAACTACTCTCCTGGTTCGCTCACTGCTCTTTTCTTCATACAGTCCCATTCACAGTGGTTTTCAGCCGATAAGATAATCTGTAACTTCCTCTACGGTCAGTTGATAGCCTTCATTGGGCTGATTCAGGAGAGTTCTCAGAGCTCGCTCATATTATCTCTTGCTTCATCTTGTGAAAACCCATTAGACGGCTCGAAAATTCCCCTTCGACATGTTTCATTCCGACCTTTGAGATGCCTCCCTAACCCTCTGCCTCTACCGTTCAGCATCAAGTACTCGAGATTTCTTCCAAACATTTATACTTCTATACTGTATTCTTTGTCAAGAACAGAACTGCCCTTACATAGATAAAGTTCCATTTCTCAGAGGTGGTTTGCTTGGTATTGCTCTCATTTCATGTCGATCACCCGTGGCTTGATTACCTATCGATGTTTCAGGCCCGAGATAATGCTTGAAGTATACCTGTTGCCATCAGGATAACACCGATTTGACACCGGCACACGTCCCCAGTAAAGGACACAAAACAAAGTCCTTGTACTTTGATCAACCCCCGTCTGAGGGATGCTTCTTCGTATTCGACCTCCAAGAATCTTATAGGCTTCTTGAATGTATATGTGACCACTTGTGGTGGCCAACCGATGTTCAAGTAAGTGTTTTTATACTCCCAAACGGGTCTGGTACCAGCTAATCGACTCTGGAAGGCGTATTGAACATGGACAAGTATAAATTCGAGATTCGATCACCGGCCTGAACATCAACAAAATCGGCTTTCTCAATGAAAATGCAAGCAGGACACAACCTAAATGCCGATTTTCTTCGAAGGATACTTTTTTGGCAAAATAATCTAGGAACATTTGGCAATTTTCTTTAGATGTATACTGAAGTAATTGTTTGCTGTTTCTTCGCACGTATTAGCCTCGGATGGTACTCGAACCCGCACTTGTGCTATCCGGGCACCGTGCCCTTATCCCTTACACTACCGAGACTCCGCTTATCCCCGCCATCTTAATGGCAGTGTTTTCGGAATCCTGCTATTGCATTAGAAGCTCTTTTCTGTTGTACATATGTCCACTGCTCTTGCATATTGTGTACAGTACATAAATAAATTGACCACCAGTGCTTAAGGCGATGGAGAAAGCTGTCTTCATTCGCCGTTGTTTATTGCTGTTCTTCAGTTCTCGAGATGTTTATTTACTTTCGAATAGACTTCATAAAATATTCATTTCACTCAAATTTGGCTCGAATCCAAACGAATGGTCTGAGGTTTCTTCATGGCGATATGGAACCCCTGCGTTATGGCTGTCTGAGCCTGGCATGGAACTTCTGCGTTGCGGCTGCTCTTAGACAGCCACAACGCAGAAGTTCCATATCACCATGGAGAAAGGACTCCCTAAATTATATCCAAATTCAAAACCAAGCTCAAGCGAATATAAGGTGAGGATACAAACACTTCTGCCTCCAAAGTTTGTCAAATTTCGCACATTTGTTTTTGTTTTTTATGAACATGCCGCTCGAAGGCCTAACTTTCCGGCGTATAAATTCATTTTCTTTTTGAGTAGGTGACCGAAAGTTTTGGTACAGAATAGTTCATGCAGGAATCCCTTCCGAAGGTTTTTTTTTCTCAACTGGGTAATCCTAAAGTTGAAAAGCTTATGAGGGTGGAGGGATATATGGGCAGCAGACAGTCACTGCAGAGCAACGTGTAGTTGCCATAAGTGTGTGTCAGCTGGCTGCATCTACAACAAACGTGCTCCATTTCAAATTGTGTCGGCTTTCACGAGATCGCTGAACACGTCCTTTCTTAGAGGTATTGAGAGACAAGGGATACGTAGCGGTTTTTGAGCTCTTATTCTGTACTACATCTGCTTATTGACCCCATGATGTCCATTTAATCCCCAAATGGGAGGAGGATCTTTCCAGGATCCTCTGAGTCGAGCAATCGCAGGCTGAGAGAACATTACTGTGACTTGTGGACCAGCTTGTGTAAGTCAGTCCTCAATGTCATTGTCAATGTTGAATATCCTTTGAAACGATATTTTGACTCCCAATAGAACTAGTGTGCATGGCGCTTTCTAAAACTGACTCGTCAATTCTGATCTCTTCAGTTTTTTCCACTTCTAGCATAATCGTTCGAGATTGTCTTCGCAAATTTTTTGGGCTTAGTGCGGAGCTCACGTTTTCCACGTTGTCATCCACGTTTCTGCAGTGTTTGCCTCATTCCGGAAGAATATCCGCGTGTTTGTCAGGCGACGACAGGTATCCGGTCGTGCCGTAGCCTTTTCACGCCTGGCGGCTAGTTTGAAGACTCGTATATTTGCTCATGGGGACGACTATAAAACAGTTGCGATCAGGGCGATCAGATCAATTCTTCTTGAGACATCGACATGAAATCCTTCTGGTAGGTTTTGTCGTAACTTCGACTAACCTAAATTTTCTTTTTCTATTTTAACTTGAGTAAGACCATGATTTGCCAAATTTTCTTGAGACCTCCAGATCCCGATTCAATTTCAGTGGTCTTCTCGCCTTGATCGGAGTATGCTCGGCACAGACGTTTGCATGGCCTAGCTCATCGTACAACCCTTACTACGCGAGGTTCTTCGCAGCTGCATCAGCCCCTGTGCCGGTGGCACCTGCGCCTGTAGCAGCCGCCTACCCAGCTGTGGCAGCAGCTCCAGTAGCTGCTGCTTATGCATCTCCTTTGAGCCCTCCAGTAGCTGCAGGACCCGCCATCGCCGCTGCTACTGCTAACGGAGCAGCACTTCTGACTGCCCCAGCTTTGGCGGCTCCCGTTTATGCTGCTCCAGCTCTCGCAGCTCCAGCATACGCTGCCCCAGCCTACGCTGCTGCTCCTCTACCGGCACCAGCTGTAGCTGCTGCTCCCGTTGTAGCTGCTGCACCCGCAGTCGTTCCTGCATATGCACCATTCCAGGCTGCAGCTTATCTCATTGGATCCAACAAGGCCGCCACGAAGGTTTGAAAAGAAATTCCTCAAAAAACCGTTTCTGTATATTGTTGCGAATCCGAGCAATAAATATTTACTTTCGGATTATTTTTACTTGTAAATAAGTAATTGAATGATTTGGCGGCATCCACATTGACCTGATTCACGAGAAAAATGAATAGGATAGCTAAGCGTGTAATAACGTTGATGTCTGACGTATTTTCGAACTCCCGCCGACGACTTCAGGAACAGCTTTCAGTGGTGAGATCAGCTCACAACGAATTACCATAATGAAAAGTTACAATCAGATTAGAATATGTCCAACAAACGAAATTTCCCTCAATATTGCTTTCACGACTACCGTTTCCTTGGAAGGGCGCTTAAAGGCTTTCTTGAGAAGAATTCTAGCTACACCTCCTAGAAAGCTACCACTGAAAGAAGGCACATTACTTATCTGTGTTTTTATGAATGGGCATCCACTAATCTTGGTCCTTGATGGGACCATACCTAAATTGGGACAGGTACTTTGCATCCCACGCAGCAAGTGCCAAAATCAGTCGTTGAAAATTCGAACTTCATCCTTACCTGCACGCACCCACGCCAGGATTGTGCCGAGAGCACGTCACGCCTGGCGCATTCGGTACAAGCTCCCACACCCTTGAAAATGTTATGTGCAATATTCCACTAAATGTAATAAGAATGCGATAGTATTCCTGTTTGATTTTGAACTCATTCCTATGTTACCCTGACTATCGTGGAAAATTTAGCTTTGAGAGGAAACAAGAAAATTTCTAATTGTAAACGGCCAATGAACCCGTTACACGCCGCGCTCATTTCTATTATAGCATATTAATACTGTAAAAATTGAAAGAAGCAAAGAAGCGACTAGTACCTGCACAACGAAACGTCGCCATTCTAGGCAGACGATGCTGAAATTGAAAGGTACAAAAACCGGTAGAAAGTATCAGCGTGCCAAACAAAAAATTGAGGTCCTCACTGGATGGTATAAAATTGGAACGTCGAGGAAATGACGAGGTTGACGGTGGCGATAGCAGTGAAGGATAGAATCACACCGGAAAATTTGAAAGCCTTCTTGAGGGGAATTTTCAAAAATTTTGGCTGAAGACTTTTACTGCAGAATAATCAGGGTTTATAAAGCCTAATATGAGGCAGAAAGGAGCACACAAGGAGATTATCCATACGAAAGCTATTAACTAGGGTGAAGAGCGGTTCTAGAGGGTGAGTAGGGAAGATCTGAGATCCGTAAAAATGATCAAATTGTGACGAGGAGCTGTGAGGAACGTAGGGAGAAACTTGAAGCTAAGAAATGCCCAACTAAGGGTCAATTTCATCAAGTTCAGACACATTCCATTATGGATTCCGACTCGGATAGTTGAACTTCAGACGAGCAGACGGACACCATGCTGGCTTCCTTTATTGTGAAACAATGTTGTTTCTAGTTTTCCTGACGTCTGAACGGGTAGTATCCAATTTTCAAGCAATCAACGGCTGAAAATCTGAAATTCCCAGAACATGGCAAGGAATTGAAGAGTAGTTACTCTAGGAGATGATGTCACGATTCAGGGAGCAGGTGGATAGTGCCAAGTGCGAAATCTCACACAAAAGATTCTGAGAGTCTCGGATGGATATCCAGCAAAACTGACTAAGCCCTCTATTCCCCTGAGATGAGAGCTTTGCCTTGAATGTATGCTTTCCTCTTTAGTCACTCTTATTGTTGGTCTTAGTTCAAGTCATTCTTAAAGTCAGGTCACATTTAAGCGCTACCAGGAATGTAAAACAAAGTCGAATGCTTACAAAGCACCTCTAAATCCGATTGACCAACAACAAAATCCCTGCATCCTTCTTTCGGACTGCTTTACGATCAGATTGCAGTAGTTCCTCAGAAGTCAACAATCCTGGGAGTTAACTGTCGTTGGCCACTCCCTGTCCTGTGAATCAGGAGCATGAGCGTTTCCAATTAGAGCTGGAGCTGTCTGACAATGAGTCACTCACCAAGAACATCACCGGAAACCGGAGATTGTGTGTCGTTTCTTTCGGAAGTTTCTATAGCGAGCCAACGGAGTGCCGTTCGGCCAGGTGTTTGAGAGGAAGGGTGCAATCGCGTGACTCGCATGCAACTTTCGCCTCCCTCTCTCCACTTCCTTTACCAGGGAGAACATCCCAAAGGGTCATTCCTCACCACAATGGCTAAACTGAAAAAAGCAAGAGAAGCAAGAGAAACAAATGGTCATTATTCAATTACCATTTGAAAGCACAGCTCACGATAATTTTGAGGTATCTTCTTAAAGTTGAAGGTGGGTGTTGATGTAGAAATAGTACATCGATGGCGAGATATGCGGAAAAATCTGTCTACTTCGTGAACAACAGGCTTTCTTATAGTAGTAGAAGTAGAGGTTGTACGGGATCACCATGACAGGAACGGCAAGAGGTGTTTGGACGAGATTCCAATTGCTCCAACTCCGTAAAGAGCTAACTTGTCAAGTCGAAAGCGTCCGAAAGTACCTTTCACTGTCGTTTTTGGTTATGGAAAGTCGTATAAATTTCCTACGCGGGAGTTCCTTGAGATAGTGCAGCCTCTACAACGCAATTGAAACTCGTCCACTGTGGGAGTGGCATTCGCATGGCGCAATCTCTGGCCCTATGTTGTGCCCTAAACAAGACGTTTCCCTATCTTATAGCGGAATGTATGGTATACAGGGTGACCCACATGAAGTGTGACGCAGAAAAGTAGCATCAAAATTATACAAATCAAACCAAATAGAAGACATTTACTCCTATACAATCATCACAAAACTGTCAACAATATATCACATCACGCATGCAGAATGACCATATTTCGCTGTAATGCAAGCATCTAACCTCTTTCGGAAGTTTTCAAGAATGCGCGCAATCACTTTCATCCCACGCTTCTATTGGGTTGTAACATAAGTTCGTAGAGTTTTTTCACAGAGATTTATTTTACCAAAAAAACAATAATTATAATAATAAATTAATCAATGATGTATCTTCCTGTTACTGTTTGCGACCTCCTCCAATCTCTCGACCAATTTGTTGATGCAGTTTCGCCAAAAATCAGCCGGTCTGGTGTCGAAGATGTTG